GCTAAAAAATTCATGGTAGTAATCTAAACACATAGACAAAGGCAAACCTTTTCAATGAGATCAAGTATATCTTGATTGTCAATGAACTCTATGTAGCTCCAGTCAATTTCTTCTTTTGTATATTCTTCTTGCTCCATCTTGAAAACATGCTGCCGAATTTGACGACATATTATGTTTAGTTGATTTGCAAAGGAGTTTCAAGGAATACTTAAATACATGAAGCAAATATTTCACACACAAACCTGATTGAAATGCTGCTGCAGTTTCTCATTTGTTAGATTGATGCAGAACTGCTCAAAGCTGCATAGAACCAATCAATATTTATGACACCAAATAGGCAGACAGCATGAAACTTGAGAATTTCACAAACACTTATTCACCATCAGAAACACTGTACAATGACATATAACATATGGCATAAAAATCTTTCAACAATAAATTCTGTGCACCAGGCCTACCTAGAGCAAAGCTATCAAAAAGGTTTCCACTTCCCCTGATAGGAGAGTTTGCATGCTCTAACTACCAAAGAACTTATGGAAAAATGAGAAGTCATCAAACTAACTTAAAGTGGAACCATAGCCACAAGAGTTTCAAATCAGCTAATAGCATATTTCCATTGCATAAGAAACAGGGTTTTCATGCAGTACTCTGCAAGAAATTAACCTCTGTAAATGATGAAAACAAAAGCGTACCGCTTAAGCACCTGTTTGTCTTGAAACTCTCAAATCCGTAGATATCCAGAACCCCAATCAAGTATTTTGAATCAGGATCTTGACCAATAGAATTATTTATCTTGTTCACAATCCTGTATCAATAAAGAACATAGACTTCAAGTAACAGAAGAAACCAGCTACAAGAACAAAGAATGGATACAAAATCTATCCTTTGAACTTAAACTTACCAATCAAATAATCTTGAGTAAACAATTTTGGCCAGAGCATCTCTACTAAGAGTTGCGGCTTCTGGATCAAGACATTTTGTTATGGTCTCATCACGAGTCACAATCACACGTTTACATAAGGAATCTTCAAGAGACTTCTCATCACACCTAAATGAGACTTGCACATTATGGATTTTCCTTTTACCCTTCTGGACACCAAAACACAAAATGTGGAAGTTTGGAATAATATAATAAGAAGAAAAAGTCAATTACATTAGAAGCTCAGATGCAGTTTTCAGATGGAACCAAGACTTATCATCCTTAGGTTCAGAAGAATCTGCTTCTATGCCCTTGGAAAACTCAATGTTTCCTAAGTGGAGAGTTGCAGCGACAACTCGGAAAATTGCATCCTGCAAAAAGAGTCATAAGGTAATAAAATACCTCTAACAATTAAATAAACAAAGACGCCATGACTAGAAATCAGTACCTGCTCATCAGAACTGATCCCAACAATTTCCATGGCCCTCCTTGTTGCAAGGTATTCCTTGGAATCATCCACTCCGTCCAGCTCATAACAATTTGATTGATTTAGATAATGAAACGTCCTTGGATTTCCAAGCTTGTACCTCTCAACATCCTATAGCCAGCATAAGGAAACATATCTAAAAATATATTCAAGGAAAATAAAATCTATAAAGTAGAGTTGATTACAACCCGATGCAGTTAGTATGATGCGCCGAGCCCGGTGCATGCAAGACAGATGAATGATGCAAACATGCAAGCATAAGTATGCTAATTGAAACATTCCCTAATCTAACCATCATAAGTTGATCAATAAAAGAGAGAAAGACGTGGGGTTGGAAGACATGCATCACACACACGCACACTTATTACAACATTGCCCTCGCTCGGAAGGTCCGACTAAATAATACAGTCCGAATAAATAATTACAGTCTGAATGAATGATTAAATATTACAAAACGCTAATTAATTAACAAATTAACTAGGAAAACAAAAAACTAGCATGCAAATTCATGGACCGCCTCAGCTCTGTTCCGAATGATGAAAGATGCATGCTCGAGTTGCCTTGCACAGAAATCCATTGCGATGCCCCGATTCGCCTCTGTTTGCAATTAATCCCGGAATGCTATGCAAGGCTTTAGAAAGTTACTGATTTCTGATTTGCTGCAACAGAGAGCAAGAAAGGGACATGGCAAAGTATTTTCACATATGTATGCACACATTGATCCTCATGCCACCAATCACGCATCTCGATGCACGATGGTCGAGGAGTCAAATTGCACGACTCGATGTGAAATGAATGCACATATAAACACAACAAGGCCTAGACTCCATCATGGTTAATCCGGAGTGTCGGCGACTAGGAATTGAGACACGTTCCGTCACTTGGAGTACGAAACGTCCCTCGTTTCCTGTGCTCGGGCTAACTCCTATCCCAAACACAATGCAAATGAGAATGAGATGGCATATACAATGCGACTAACATGTAACCTAGCATACGCAATACTATGGACTAAAATGGCATATACGATGCACGTGATGTAACATGGCATACACAATGCTCTAACATGCAACCTAGCATACGCAATGCTATGGACTAAAATGGCATACACGATGTATGATGGACTTACACCAACATGAGTGGACCTCAGCCACACTCACATCAGTGGCCATATGATGGAAATGAGACAACTGAAACACATACAAACATGCACAATGCAAGGGATCGATCCTAAGGCATCAAATGCCACTGTACCAAAGCATGGAAAAGGATGCAATATGGCATACAAACACACAAATTCCAGCTTTGAAACATAATACAAAATGGTCCCGAAACATGCAAACATGGCACACAATGCAAGCTAGGGGGACCGGGTACCGAAACTAGTGAAATGCGTTACACTAGAGGTACCGAAAGCAATGCACTAATGGCAAAACCAACCCCAAACAGACCCTAGGCAGGTTTGAAATAGTGGGGAAATGGCCTAAAATGATGGCTTAGAATGCAACGAAATAGAGCTCATTCAATGGTCGGTAAATGAGGCATACAAGCCCGACTCTCAAACGCATTTAAAGAGTATAAAACATGACAATATGACATTCAAACAAGCTCTGAAATATGATGTATAATGGCCCCAAAATAAGGAAATATCTCAGTATATGCATGTAATGGACCCCGAAACTCAAAGCTAAGCAAGTGTATTGAACCACAAGCATGCAAAACAAACACCATTCGACCATGAGACCCAAAAACAGAACTAAAGCAGTCCAAAATATGCCTAAGATCAATTTAAGACATGGCCAAAAAGTACTAACATGAAGGGCCAAAACAACATGCAACATAGGCTAGTAAGCATGGTTTTCACTACATGTATATGAAGCACAAGAGAGGTCACCAAACCAGCCAAAAACAGAAACATGGCATGTCAAATAAACCCCAAAAACCCATGTAAACTCAGTCAACACATGCTAGAATGAGGTGCTCCTTTGAGAGGCCAATAAGAGGGTTGTTCAACACATACAAGATAGACATGCAACATGGCAAAACCACCTTTGGAAATCAGTTATGAGAGTCTTAAAACTCACCAAAAAGGCCCTGAAATAGGTCAATGAAGCATGCAATGAAAGGTCCCTTTGAAAGGCCTTGAAGAGAATTGTTCCACACATCCATGAGAGACACAAAATATGGCCAAAAGGGCTCTGGACAGAGCTAAGGAAGACCTTAAAACTCACCAAATAGGGCCTGAAATGTGACTTCACAACATGCAAGTAGGGGCCCCTTTGGAAGGCCAAAAGGGCCAACAATCAAAACAAGGAGAGAGGGGGTCAGCCCCCTCTGATTTTGGCTCTCAAAATAGTGTGCTAGCCACTGAAAATCCACTGGATTTCAGTGGCTAGGAGGCCAAACAAAGCATGAAACAAAGGCCTAGATGCAAGGCTCAAAACAAGAGGCAAACAAGCATACAAGGGGGTAGATGACCCCCAACAGAAAAATGCCCTTAACCAAACTTCAAGAGGGGCTCAAAAAAAGACTCTTTTCAGTTTATGACAAATCTCTAAAATCCTTTCAAGCAAGGCTAAGATAGAAAGCAAAATAAGCCTACAAAGAGGGATGGAGCATGCAAGGAGGTAGATGACCTCAAACAGAAAAGTGCCCTTAATAAAACTTTAAGAGGAGCTCAAAATAAGACACTTTTTAGTTTAATACAAAACTCAGAAATGCTTTCAAATAAGGCTAAAGAATGAAGCAAGATAATGCAAAAATGGAGAAAATAGAGACTTACCCTTGTAGAGAAGACCTCCAGCAACTTCTGGACCAAGATGGTGAGCCTTCAACCTCTGCAAATCAGTTCCAAGATGTTTGGATGGATGGTGGAGGTGTTGTGCTAAGGGTTGGTGTGCAAATGGCCAAGAATGATGGAGTTTAGGGCTTGAGATGGAGAGATATGGAGAGTTGTATGCAAAGTGCCTTAACAAAATTCTTCAACCCTTGCAAATGGAGAGGAGGGTATGTTTTATAGAGGGAGAGAGCCAAGGATTCTTGGAGAAGCCTCAAGTAAAAAGGCCAAGCTTCTAAAAGAAGCTAAGCAAAAGGGTCAAGCTTCTTGAGGAAACTAGACCAAAAGGGTCAAGCTTCCTCAAGAAGCTTGACAAAAGAGTCAAGCTTCTCTTAGAAGCTAAGCAAAAGGGTCAAAACCTCCTTAAGAAGACAAACAAGAGGGTCAAAATCTCAGAGGATGGGTCAAATGCTTCATAGCTGGCACAGTTGTGTTGCACTCAGGAAGGCCAAAAAGCAGAAGGCTGGCCGACCAGCCAAGGTGGTCGGCCGACCACTCCCCCTGGTCGGCCGACCAGGGTTCAAAAGGGTCAAGGTGAAATACTGGTCGGCCATACCAAAAAGGTGGCCTCCTAGATGAGTACAACACAGCTGTATGATGGGAGACCAGAAATTGTGGCCCAAGAGAGAGAAAAACCAGCTTTCTAGCAAGGTTCAAAAGGGTCAGAAAGAAAATCCAGTCGGCCTATCCATATTGGTGGCCTCCCAGATGAGCACAGCACAATGGTGGTATGGAAGACCAGAAATTATAGCCTAAAAGTGAGGAACACCAGCTTTCTGTCAAGAAAATCGGCTGGAGGAGAGAGAAAATGATTTCCAAAAGAATTGCTGGTCTCCCACTATAGTACCACCTTCCAAACAATGAAAATAGGGTCCATACCAAAAATAAACCCTAATCGATGCAAAACGAGGATTCGGGGGCCAAAACACGCGGCCCGCGGCCCCGAAAACAGGCTGTTAAGTACCGGAAGTGGCGTGTGACCACGAAGGTGGTCTCTCGGGCCATAGTGTCCCTCAAAAGAGAGGAAACAAGGTGTGTGCCAAAAATTGGAGCAAACAGAGGTAGTTAAGCAGTCCCGAACTGAGGCATACGGCTGACGGCTCTGAAAATCAGAAACTGGTCTCTAAACGGGAAAAATGGCCTACAACCACGAAACGTAGCCTACGGCCACTAAGAGATGGCCTACGAGACCTCTCCCTTCCTTCGGGAAGAGAAAACAGGACCTGATTCGTGAACCGAGACAAAGCACAAAAGAGCCCCGAAGTCCGGAGGCAAGGCTCGCAGCCAAGACTCTGAAACCTCAGAACGAGCACAATATGCATCATCACCGAGCGCTCAATTGGTGACGTCTGAATCTTAAGGTCGGTCAAAAATGGGGTGTCTACAACTACCAACCCAAACAGCAAATCCTTAGAAGAGGAAGACCATCTAATCTGAAACACCAAAAAGATCAAGAGCAAAGAAAATATGGGGGAAAAAGACATGGACATCAGCTCTGAAGATCTCCCCAAGACTCAAGGCCAACAGCTTTCCTCAACCCCGGCTGATGCACCCCAAATAGCTATACACAGTGAAGGCCCCAAAACCAAATCCTTCAGAGAGGCCTTAGCTGCAAACAAGACTCAAGATTTTTACTTTGATGATGCAATGGATGAAGTATCAGCTAATGAAGAGGAGGAGGATGGGGGAAATACTTCCATCCAAGAAGATGATTCCTTGCAAACCCAAAATGGTATCCCACGGATTAGGTTGCCCAAGAAATTACTGCAATAGATCCACCAGCCATGGGCAAACACCCTTATAGTCAGATTGCTGGGCAAAAGTATAGGGTACAGAATGTTGTGTACCAGAATCAGAAATCTATGGGGCCTACAAGATGATTTTAATGCAATTGACCTAGGCAACAACTACTTCCTTTTCAAATTCTCTTCTCATGAGGACTGTACCAGGGTCTACTCTAGTGGCCCATGGTGATAATGAATCACTACCTAACAATGCGTAAATGGGGGCCTAACTTCAAGGCATCAGAAGCTTTTGAAACCACAACAGCGGTTTGGGTGCGGTTTCCAGAACTTCCGATAGAATACTTTCAAGAAAACGTTTTATACGCAATAGCCAAACAAATTGGCAGACCTTTGAAGATCGATCTCACAACCGCCATGGTCACAAGAGGAAAATTTTCTAGGGTTTGCATCGAAGTTGATCTTCGCAAGCCACTATGCCCTTGATTCATGCTCGGTAAGAAATGCTATAATATAGAGTATGAATCTATCCACTCTTTCTATTTTCATTGCGGCAAAGTTAACTACTGAAAAGAACTCTACAAGCACTCAGCAACACATTCAAAAGCCTAGGAAACCCAACGGACCAACACACCGTCGGAAGGGAGACCAGTCGGCATCTCCGGAAGCAAGGACAACTCTTCAACGGTCAATTTGTCAGATAACGGCAACCTGCTCCAGCCGAAGGTAGACGATGGAACTTATGGGCCATGAATGATGGTAACAAAAAAAAAATAGATGACCTTATATCATTAAAAAATCCCAAACCAGTGGACCAAGCCCAAGTAACAACAGATTCTCAGAATTGGATACCCCAATTGAGCAAAAGGAACAAAGCAGAAGGAGAAAGACCACCCGTATAGGAGTAGAGAAGGAATCACATGACTCCAATCATGAACCATCATCTGTTATAGCACAAGCCTAACATTTACAAAAACCCATTACCACTACGTGTGCAAAACCCAACAATCCCATTAGACAAGCCAGCCCAAGGATTTCCAGTAGACCAGAAACACAGGTAACTCCACAACATATCCCTAACCAAGCTTCAGACATTATCCATTTGTTAGAACAGGACAAAATATCCCAAGAAACCAATAACATTTTGACACACACACCACCCTCTGCAAACCTTAGCCTCTTGGGAAATACTACTGAACCCACTATTAATTCAAAGGAAAAGATGATAGTAGAGGTTTCAACATCACACACTACCAACTCTCTTAGCCCAGAACCAGTATATTCAGGTGGAGATGGAGCAACAAGAAATCCCAAACCTCCAAATCCCGGAATCATCAACGGAGCTAGAAAAAAGACCATTGCCCGAAGTAATAACACACAAGATGGAGAACCAACCGACGGGACTGTTGTTAGAACAAGGGAACGAAGCAATTCACCACGCTGCTATAACCTGGTGGATAGAGCAGATAAGGTTGAGAATCGAACCAAGCTGGAGTTTCAGACTAGGGCTTCCAGTTCACTCGCTTCAGATGGCATCCAAAAGATCAATTGATCAAGATCACAGAAGGATTCGAAGCATACTTACAAGTATGGACACTGACCCTCTCCCCCCTTACCCTGATATGGAATCTTTCAATAGCTTATTTTGGAACTATCGTGGGGCTGGCAACAATGCTTTTAAGCGTAATATGAAGGAACTAGTCCGTAACCACCACCCTGGAATTATCATCCTGATGGAACCAAAAATTCCCTTTAGTTCTACGGGGAATTTTTTCAACAACTTAGGATATACTGAGGCTTCAATCCTAGATCCAGTAGGGAGAGCTAGAGGTATATGGATGCTATGGGACACTTAACAAGTGAATGTCCGAGCATCAATCATCAGTAACCAAGTCATTCAAGCCACTATTCATAAAGAAGACTACGAAGAATGGGTTCTCTTGGCAGTGTATGCTAGCCCGAATCTCTCCAACAGAGAAGCCTTATTGGACAACCTAGAAGACACAGCATGCACCATGTATAAACCATGGTTAGTATCTGGCAACTTCAATGATTTTGTTAGCCAAGATAAAAGGAGTTTTACCCCTAACCATCACAACAACAGATGTCAAAAATTCTCTGAACGAATTAACAACTACAACCTCATGGATCTAGGGAGTGTGGGACCTAAACTTACCTGGACCAACAATAGACAAGGGCTAGCAAACACCATGGAAAGACTTGATCGAGCTATGAGCAACGACAAATGGCGAGCCCTTTTCCCTGAAGGAACAGTGAGGACTCTGCCAAGAACATATTCAAAAAACTCTCCGCTAGTTGTCTATACTCAAGGTATGCATCCTCTCAACCCCCTAAACAGACCCTTTAGATTTGAAGCGGCCTGGCTTTGCCATCCCAACTTTATTGATGTTGTTCAACAATCCTGGTGGAACATGGATCATAACCTTATTAATGCGATCAATGACTTCACCCATAATGTGAAAACTTGGAATAAAGAAACCTTTGGAAACATTTTTAAAAGAAAGAGAAATCTACTGGCTCGCATTGAAGGTCTTCAAAATCCCCAAGCCCAATCATACTCTCATAACCTTTTCTTACTTGAGAACCCTAACCATCACAACAACAGATGTCAAAAATTCTCTGAACGAATTAACAACTACAACCTCATGGATCCAGGGAGTGTGGGACCTAGACTTACCTGGACCAACAATAGACAAGGGCTAGCAAACACCATGGAAAGACTTGATCGAGCTATGAGCAATGACAAATGGCGAGCCCTTTTCCCTGAAGGAACAGTGAGGACTTTGCCAAGAACATATTCAAAAAAACTCTCCACTAGTTGTCTATACTCAAGGTATGCATCCTCTCAACCCCCTAAATAGACCCTTTAGATTTGAAGCAGCCTGGCTTTGCCATCCCAACTTTATTGATGTTGTTCAACAATCCTGGTGGAACATGGATCATAACCTTATTAATGCGATCAATGACTTCACCCATAATGTGAAAACTTGGAATAAAGAAACCTTTGGAAACATTTTTAAAAGAATGAGAAATCTACTGGCTCGCATTGAAGGTCTTCAAAAATCCCAAGCCCAATCATACTCTCATAACCTTTTCTTACTTGAGAAAGACCTCATCACTCAATATAATGCAACCCTCTTTCAAGAAGAACTGCTTTGGTTCCAAAAATCCAGAGTTAAGTGGCTTACTTTGGGGGACAGAAACACTAGATTTTTTCATATATCTACCCTTAACAAACGTAGGAAATTAAAAATCAATGTTCTAAAAGATGAGGGAGGTAATTGGATAACCAACACTGATAACCTTAAATCTCATATCATTGACCATTTCACCAACATGTTCAAGTATGAGGAAACTCTCAGACTGGAAAATTAGATTAACATCGCTAAGGTCACCTTTACTAGAGAAAACAACAACAGATTTAGCACCCCTATTAGCAACCTTGAGATCTGGAATGCCATCAAAAACATAAAAGCCTACAAAGCCCCAGGTAAAGATGGTCTCCAAGTTGTTTTTTATCACAAGATCTGGAACACTGTTGGCCCTTTCATCTGTAATTTCATCAAACATTGCTTCAGTACTAAAAACATCCCTCAGGAGATCAATGAAACTTTGATTGTCCTCATCCCCAAGCTCAAGAACCCTGAGTCCATTAAACAATTTTGACTAAAAAGCTTGTGCAATGTCCTCTACAAAACCATCACTAAAATCATTGTCAACCGCATCAGACCTCTCCTCCCTGACCTCATTAGTCCCAATCAAAGCAGCTTCATTCCTGGTCGAACTACCACTGATAACATCATCATAACCCAAGAGATTATCCACACCCTTAGACATAAAAAAGGCATAAATGGTGGTATGGTTTTAAAAATAGATCTTGAAAAAGCTTATGATCGCATTTCTTGGAACTTTATTCTTCACACTCTCAAGGAGTTTAAACTTGAACCAGATTGAATTACTAATACTATTATCATGAATTGTGTTTCTAACATCAATTCAGCTATTATGTGGAATGATGAGACCCTCCCAAACATCCCTATGGGAAGGGGACTTAGACAAGGGGATCCCCTATCCCCTTACATCTTTGCTCTTTGTGTGGAAAACTTGTCTAACATGATCAATCTCATAACTACTAGTGGTGACTGGACAGGCCTCAAAGCTTCTAAACATAGCACACCTATCTCCCACATTTTCTTTACAGATGACTTAATTCTTTTTGCCAAGGCAAACATAAATAATTGTGATTGTATCATGGAAGTTCTCTCTGAATTTTTTGAAACATCTGGACAAAAAATCAACTTCTAGAAGTCAAAAATGTATGTCTCCCCCAACATCCCCAGAAGAAAAGCTCTTCCTCTGAGCTACCAATGTGGCATGACCTTAACCAACGACTTGGGCAAATATCTTGGAACCCCCCTTCTCCATAGCAGAATTACCAACCTTCACACCAAAGACATCATAGAAAGGATGTCAAGTAAGCTATCTGGATGGAAAGCCAAGAACTTATCCCTTGCATGAAGAACCATCCTTATCAAATCTGTCACATCTGTCATTCCTACGCATTTGATGCAGACTATGGAACTTCCTCGGAATATTTGTGACAAAATTGATAGGCTTAATAGAAATTTCCTCTGGGGAAACACTGAAAATGCTAAGAAATTTCATCTAGTCAACTGGCAAAATGTCTGCAAAAGTAAGAAACAAGGAGGCCTAAGAACTAG